CGGGACACATAGGTACCGGGACACATAGGTACCGGGACACATAGGTATGACCCCCGGCAGCTGTATCTCCAATTTACAAGGCTGCCGGTACGGCAGTCCATTGGCGCATGCGTCGCCTCCAAGTGACTGCAAAAACTGTCTAGGATACCGTATTAATCCTAAATCTAAACCTAACAGTAACACTGCCCATGTTTCATACCGTACCTGCTCGGCTATATTTGACTTTATATATGCGTGTCATTGCTTTCATTCTTTTGCATCTGAACTGACAATCAATCCCAACCAACTGGTGTAGGCTAGCTGGCACAATAATGTTTATTTTCATACTTAATCCGAGTGTTTTCTAGCTCATCAAAACTCTTAAATCGTGAATTAATTCGTAAACGGCATTATTTTGTGAGAAAGCGACTCATGCGCAAATGGACTGTCGTACCTGCAGCCTCGTAAATTGGAGATACGGCTGCCGTACCTCCAGCCACTCCGTTATAAGAGCTGTCCCCAATTCATTTTCGCAATGTGCAACATGAGCAAATGTGCAAATGTGGACAGATCTTATATCCTTGGGCCGTGATTTGTTGTGTTAGGGTTACTGTCTGACATGTTACTGTTAGTGTTACTGTTGTTAATGTTAGTGATAGTGTTACGACTAATGGTATCGCCGGTGATCGTTGACGTTATTGTAACGTTACTTAGCCAGGCTGCGAGATAAATGTCCATACACGGCATGACTGTGACCTATGGTACGAATATTCCAGCTTTGTTATTGGAATTTCAACATTGATTTAATCCATACACTCCAGGGTTCTCCCTACGTTGCGCAAACGGGGCGCGCGCGCCCCGTTTGGGAAAACTCCCCCCTGTTTGAATTTCATCCTGGGGAGAACCCTGCACTCACTGTAAACTGACTCCTGTATCAGTGTATGAGGCAGACATGATAATAAATATGCAAAAGAAATTGCAACCGCTATTCAATCGGGGAGAGAAAAACTATAATCAGCCTGAGTTAAATGGTTGAAACCGAAATGAGAGCTTCAAAGTGGTTCCATATCTGTTTAGCTAGTGTTAAAAATACCATCAGTTGATTTCCGATTTTAGTCAAACCAAAGAAAGCCTGAGGTTTATTGATTTATTTCATGTATTGCATGTTAGACTATCTGTGTGTATGTTTAGAAACTCGGCCAACTATAAGTTGTTCATATAGCAAGAGTTGGTTGCAAGAGCAAAATGGTCTATCGACTTACGACTGTTTCTTGGGGGGTAGGTTGATGTGAGAATTAAGCAGGATTCAGTAGCAAGTTGCAATCACAGTTGCACTGTGTTCTTCATACATTTGCTTGGATGTCATTGGTTGTTTTTTTTGCTTTGTAGGGAGAGAGTGTCGCGAATGTTCCATCATGCATATGATAGCTATATCCAAAATGCTTACCCTTACGATGAATTACGCCCTTTGACCTGTGACGGGTTCGACACTTGGGGAAGGTAAGGTTTATATATGTGTGTGTGTTTGTGTGTGTGTGTGCGTGCGTGCGTGCATGCGTACGCACGTGTGGTGTGGGTGTGTGTGTGTGTGTGTGTGTGTGTGTGTGCGTGCGTGCGTGCGTGCGTGCGT